GCCAGTTCCTTTAGAACTCTAGGGTGGAGATCATCCGGACCGGCTGACTTGAATACGTCCAGCCCCTCCAGAAGCTCCCTTACTAAGTCCTCGCTAACCCTTGGCCCAGGTGTGCCACCCCTGGGGCCGGAAGGGGGCCCAGCAGGGAGGTGGCTGTTCTGGTCCCTACTTAGGAAGACGGAGGCAAAGAAATCGTTAAACATGTTAGCTTTGTCATCTGGTGTGACAACCAAGTTTCCCAACGCGTCCTGCAAGGGCCCCGCATTACCTGAGACCTTAGAATTTAGAATGTCTATGGCAGGGGTTGTCAACTGGGAGTACGCGTACCCCAAGAAATACTTGGTATGGTTCAGCCGCTGGGGGTACACCTATTAAAAAAGGTTGAAAACCCCTGGTCTATGGTCTGGTCTAGTCCAGGAGTAGGCAAAATATGGCCTGTGGGCTGGATCCAGCCTGTCAGGCCATTCTATCTGGCCTGTGGGGCCCCTAAAAAATTAATATTTATCTGCTCCTGGCTGCCTGTCAAAGATGACAGGAGCTAGGGCAGTAGAACCTGGGGGAAGCCAGCAGCAGGACCCAGTAACAAGGCCATCCCTAGTCCTCGGGTTCTGGTGAGCTCCTGCTGAGTCCTGTGATCGTGGCCATGCAGCTGGAAACCACATGGTGCCGGAGCACTGCAGTAGCAGTCGGGAAAGTGGGGAAAGCAGTAGCGGGAGGTGGGGTGGTAGTGGGCGGGTGCACAGTGTCCCATGGCCAGCACCAATGGGGCCCAGAGTGGGGCAGCAGGGGTCTATGGAGCCAGGGTGGACTGTGCCATCAGGGACCGGAGAGAGCCAGCCCGGCTCCAGAGAGCCCCTGCTAGCTGGAACCCTGCGCTTCTGCTGCCCCGCTTTGGACCCTGCTGGTGCTGGCCCCGTGACACCGGTGTGGGCCCCGCACTCCCACCCAGCTGTCGCTGCACTCCTGCACGCCTGCTTTTTGCCACTCCCACCTGCCCCAGCCCCACAGTACAGGCAGGGACCAGCATGTGCAGCCCTGAAACTGTGTTCCTTGCGCTTGCCTGTCTGGGCTGAGCAGTGGCAGTGCAGGACAAACGGTTGCTCAGCATGGGGCAAAAGCAGCTCTACCCCCTCCCGCTGATGATGCTTTCTGGTGCAGCCGCCCAGAGCCCGCGCAGGGCTGCCATGTATCTCCGCAGAGCCACTGCTGCCTCTGGGCTGCCCCACAGGGCAGTGGTGACAGCGTAGAGCAGACTTAGGGCAGCTCCGTGTGGGCTCCAAGTGACTGCACCAGGAAGCGCCAGGAGGGGGCAGGGCTGCTTTTGCCCTGTGCTGAGCAGCAATTTCTTTTCTGCGCCACCACTGCTGAGCCTGGGACCCAGCACCAGCTCTGGGCTCGCCCATTCAGGCTGAGCAGTAGCAGCACCAGCTGGGAAGAAACTTGCTCGGTGTAGGGGAAAGCAGCCTCTCCCCTTTGCCATTGCTGGGCAGTTTTTGATGTGGCTGCCTGGAGTGCGTGCTGAGCTGGGCTGCCCTGCGGCTCTGTCACTGCTGCCTTTGGGCTGCCCAGCACGGCAGCAGTGACAGTGCAGGGCAGCTCAGAGGTGGTGGTGACAGAGCCACAGGGCAGCCCAGCGTGGCACACTTTCTGAGTGGCCACACCAAAAACTGCCTAGTGGTGGCGAGGGGGAGGGGCCACTTTCCCCTGCGCCAAGCAACAGTTTCTGCCCAGCTGCTGCTGCTGCTCAGCCTGGACAGGAGAGCCCAGAGCCGGCACAGAGTCACAGCTGCACATGCTGGTGCCTGCCACTACCACTGCATGCTCAGGGCGGTAGGACATGTCACAGCCGGGTGGTGAGGAGCACGGGGTGTGCTAGAGCTGACTGGCTTAGGGGTGTGCATGCAGGGGGTCTCCCATGCATACCCCACATACCCTCAAACCCTTCCCACAAACCCCACAGCCACACCTTCCCTCCCCACAATCACACATCCCACAAATACCGTACCTACCCACACTCCTCTGGGGGACGCCTAGCTTGCTGCTACGCACACACACCACACCATATACATGCATGTGTACA